CCCCCCCCCCCACGATGGTGGTTTTGTGGGGGTCAGTGGGGAGGGGATTAAGAGGTGGGGAATAGAGGGAATCCGAATAGGAACCTCTGACCGCTTCGGCCGGGGCCGAGGCGAATTTTTGGGGATTGTTGCAATCGACACGTACTTAGTAAAAAAACAAATTATAAAAAATGTGTGTATATATATATCTCTATATAGCTCAGGGGCTTCAGGTCAAGAGGTTTCGGGATAACAGGTCGAAGGTTGGGTTTTCAAGGGGCCAGGCGACGGTGCGCAAAGTGTACAGGGCTTCAACAGGGTTTTTAGGGGGGTGTTCTTTGCAATTAGGGGTGCTTTATGTAGGTGCTGCTATGAAGTTGCCAAGAGCATGTTGTGCTTGAACGACAGCCAGGTTGTGAGCTACAGTACATCTTGACATCCTGGATGTCGCTGCCAGAGATTAAAGGTGCTCTTGGGGGCCTGGTGATTCCGGAGGGTGTGTGGCCAAATGCCGACGAGCGGCACCAGCCCTGGACACTTCTGGCAGAGTCCGTGGCAAAGTTGGAAATCCAGGTGGTGGGACGCACATGGGATTTCGATGGTTCACTGGTGCTGCGGGATGCTTGGGCCGATGCTCTACTCAGCCGACCAATCGCGCGTGTTTTCGCAGAGACGCCGAGCCTGCTGATCGACATGTTTGCTTTTGGACGGCACCTCGAGGAAAGCAGACTTCAGGGTGTTTTGTGCTGGATAGACAGGTTTCGTGAAGTCGCACAGCATGTTGTTGCGCTCGTGGAACCGGAGACTGTGCAACGCTGCTTCGCGACGCCAGACCCAGAAACTCAGAAACTTCTGTGGGAATCTTGGTATATCAAGATAACTTGTCGCTGACCTTTCACGAAATGTTCTGTCAGGGTTTCTGAGCAAGATGCACCCAGGAAAGCGTGCGGAAGAAGAAGCCCCAACGCGCAGCGAGAAAACTTGGCGGTTGGGGGGCAGCCGACTGCTTCAGTGAGCTTCTGAAAAAGGGCCTTCCTCGATGGTGCTGGGCTGGCAGCATCCCGCCTTTCCACGACAGCCTGCTCCAGTATATCTTGGAACCGACTTTTCGTCAACACAGTCAACACTTCGAAGACAAGGATGAAGCCCAGGGTAGACTTTGCATCGCCGTCGCCGAGCGCCTTACGCTTGAAGAGCTCTGCTACCAAAACTCGGACGGGCGCTCCGCACTCCACTATGCGATTGAATGCGTCCCGAGCTACTATGCCGTTCAATGCGTCCCAAGCTTTGCCAAGCACCCTTCTATGCAAATCTGGAAAAAGGTGAGGGATATCATCAAACATAACATGGTGCAGCGGTTTAGAGCCGAGACAAGGCCAGGAAAAGGCCTCTCCTCCGCCTTGCAGAGTCTGCATAGGGAAGCTCGTGCTTTTGGTCTTGAGGACCACTACGACGACGACGACAATTACTGTCACTTCCAGGACGTAATCTTTTCTTTCAACGAGCATCTCAGCAGCCTGAAAGGGGATGGATGCTTGCTTTCGTTGACACCGGATGGCGATGCGCCCACGGACTTTGCAGGGACATGGAGGAGTCTCGAGTTGGGGAATTAAGTGCTGGGAGCAGTAGTGTCGCTGTGTTTGGCCATGTTACGAACTTGGATGCTGACTGTAAGAGTTCGGACATGCTGGTATTAGGAACATGCAGGTGGGAATACTATGTGCGGTTCCCTACGACTGTAGCTTCTCATATGCATGATTGTCGGCTTTGCCTACCGGCTGCAGGGGTTTAGGGAAGAGGCCGTCAGCGTAATGTCACTTGTTCTGACAAACTGCCTCTACAACCAGCACGTTTCCACCCTACATCCTATACCCTATGTCCTTCACGCGCACCCTGACCCAAGCTGTTTGGGGGGTTGGACTGGGTTTACGGTTGAGAGAAGCGCTAAACCCCTGCCTCCCTGAACCCTGAAAAACCACACCTCTAGGACTCTACGGGCTTAGTATGGGGGCCTTCATCATTAGAATAGGGTTTGGGGGTATATCATACTATAATGGGTTTGGGGGTATATCATACTATAATCATAATACGGAACCCCCCCAAAACCCCATTCTAATTATGAAGGCCCCTACATTAACGTCGACAGTTTCGGGCCGAGGGTTCGGAGTTTGGGGGTTTATAGGGCCTGGGATTTGGGTTTGAGGTTTAGGGTTTGGGGTTTAGAGGTTTAGGGTTTAGGGTTTAGGGGTTTAGGCGTTTGGGGTTTAGGGTTTAGGGGTTAGGGGGCTTAGGGGGTCTAGGGTTTAGGGTTTAGGGGGTTTAGGGTTTAGGGCCGAGGGTTTTTGGGAAGTTTAGGGCTTCCGAAGAGAGGAGGAGCCGTGGGCAAGATGCCTGTTGGGTAGGCTGGCATGGCTGGACGGAGTCCTGATCCGCAAAAGCTCAGTTCTCCAATACCCAGCCTTTAAACTTTTTGGGTTCTTATAGTTTAATCGTAATCTGATGAGGTTAAATGTTTATTTCCCTGGCTTATTGGGGAAGTAAGGCAAGAGCGTATCTTCAAGGTTCTTCTTCGATTCCTCTTTACAGGTTCCCAACCGTAAACCCTAAACCGTTGTAAGTGGCTTGATAAGGGCTCGAAAGGAGTTCAGGGCTGAGAGTTTAGGGCTCAGGACTTAGATTCGGGATTGTCATCCTATTTCAGAGTCTGTCAGGATGAAGATTCACTACAGCCTTCGCCTTCGGGTTTCTGGTTTGATTGTAGTGATTTCGGTGAGGATGAGAGGCAAGAGGAGGGCAACCATGATGACAATGATCCTTCGCAACGCTCACAAGCCCCATTCTAGTCTCAGCGCCGGTTAGCCTGTAAGGAAGGCTTTTATCCGAACCGTTGTCCCCTGCGGTGTTATCTGTGTTTCGCCTCCCCTCTCATGTCTAGCCCATTGAAACCGCAAAGTGCATCGAACGAAGGACAGTTCCGGATGGTGGTCAGACGGCTGGGAGTGGCATCACCATCGATCACCTTAGCCCTCCAATACCCAACCTTGAAGCTTTTTGGGTTCGTCTAGCCTTGTATTTCCTTGGGTATTGGGGAAGTAAGGATGATCTAGGTGGGAAAGAGGATGCGGTCGTGTGTGGCAGCAGGACGTATGGCAATCGCATGAGCAAGAAAGCTATGGCCGCTAGTCAAACCCTAAAACCTGAACCCCGACGCCCCAAAACCCTAAACCCCGAAACCCCGAACCCCAACAACCCCTGAACCCTAAACCCTAAACCCTAAGTCATGGGCACTTGGAGCCCTGAAGCCGAGCAGATTCCCTCATATGCATGTGCCACAGCCCAGCTAGCGAGGGCCCCGAGTCCGAATGCCCGAGCAAGCAGCTCCTTGCAAAAGTGAGCTTTATGGGTTTAGGGTAGCTTAACTTATTTAGGGGTTAGTGAGCTTTAAGGTTTTGGGGTAGCTTAATTAGGGGTTATGGGGTTTAGGGTTCTAGAGTTTAGGCCAAAGTGAGATTTATGGGTTTAGGATAGCTTGATTAGGGGCTTTGGGTTTAAGGTTTCGGGTTATAGGGTTTAGGCTGGAGGGTTTAGGGTTTAGGGTTATAGAGTCCCAAAGGAGTTATCGGAGAAGGAAGATAAGAGCTCAAGGCAGTCGCTGGGATCTTCCCTCGTTTCACTCAATTCGATGCCGACAAGCTCTGGCGATCTTAACCCTAAACCCAAAACCCTAAACCCCAAACCCTAAACCCTAAACCCTAAACCTAATCCGGCCGTCGAGCGCCTGGTCGGCTTGAAAATGTACTGCGTGGCCCAGGGTTTAGGGTGTAGGGTTTTAGGGTTTTAGGATTTTAGGGTTTTAGGGTTTAGGGTGTATAGGGTTTAGGTTTTAGGGTGTAGGTTTTGGGGTTTTAGGGTGTAGGGTTTTAGGGTGCAGGGTTTAGGGCTTAGGACCCCCACCACCACCACCGCCACCACTGAAACCGGAAGTAACGCGAAAACCCAGACCCGATATTCATCCTCGGAGTGGCAGAGGCAGTGCTGGGATAACGTTTTCCTCGGAGCCTCGACGGAAACCCTCACGCAAGCTTAAGCTTAGCCGGGTTCGAGCATGAAAAAATAGCACCACAGCACATCCCCCAACCCAGGAAAGCTCTGCAGTCCCGGAGTTTCCTTGCTTTCCGGTAGCACTATGCAACTCTCATGCAGCAACTCGAGCACAAACTTGCTAAGAAACCGAGCAAGAGTTGGCTGTGAGGAGTTGCCAGTCTCAAGAGTGTACTCCAGCAGACACATCTACTCAATTCTATGAGTTGTTTTGAAAATGAATTGGAGCTGGGTGTCCCATAAGGCTATAAGGTCCACACGCCCGAACCCTAAACGACTGACATTCAGACCCTACTCCCAATGCCCTGGCCCTGAACCTTGAACCATCTTAAACCCTAATCCCTAAACTCAAACAGAAACCGCCGAAGTTAAATTAGATCCGAGTCCGCAATCCAAAAACTTGAGACTTTCGGAAGAAGACGGCCCTCCAAAACAAGGATCCGGCCACGGGTTTAGGCAAAAACCCTTAACCCTAACCTTAAGTGCTCGTTTAAGGGGCACTCCCCTGCAAGGCCATCCTTCAGGAATCCTCCAGCGAGTCCTCCAGCAGCTCCGTGGCAGAACGGCGCCGTCCAGGGAGGTGCTTTTGAAGGGCTTAGGGTTTAGGGTTCATGGTCGAGGGTTTAGGGTTCAGGGTTGATGGTTTAGGAGAGTGAGGGTTAAGGGTTCAGGGCTGAGGGTTTAAGGGTTAAACATTAGGGTTCAGGGCCTAGGTCTAGAGTTTTCAGTCGGGGTTCAGGGTACAGGCTTTTTGACTTGTATTTGTGCGATTGAGTGAATGACTGTGTGTGTGTGCTTTCCAAAGGTGTGAGTGAGAGAGAGTGTGTGTGTGTGTGCGTGTGTGTATGTGTGGGTGGGTGGGTGTTGAAAGGGGTTTCAATTGGATATAGCAAGGCTTTCGAAGATTTCCCATGTTTTTGGATGGGCTGAGGGGTTACCAAATGCCTGAAAAATCAAGCCGTATACCCGAGCCAGTACGGATCATCTTCTTGTCCTAGTCTAACCACACTACTTTTTGTTGCGGCTTGGGGCACTCGGGGTTCGGGACTGTTGAAGCTTTTGAGATGTAAGAAGTCCGTGGCTGACAGGCTAAGCCTTCTTGGAAGCTTTAGGTGGGGTTGTAAGCCCCTAAGAAATGGGCTATAACAAAAGACGCCCTACTTTTTTTTAACCCCACGGATAGCTACCCCTAAACCCTAAACCCTAAACGCCCTATAGAACCCGTTAAGGGAACCTTCAGAGGAACCCCATAAACCCACTTATAACTACCCATGAACCCCCAAGCTCCCGAACGTCGCATGGAGTGCAGGAGGGTGGTATTGGCCTGGTCCGCGCCGGGTGCCAGCCTGGAGGCAGTCTAAGCCCTACACCTCAAACCCGAGCCCTAAGCCCTACTCCTTAAACCCTAAATCCCGCACCTTAAACCCTACGTCCTAAGCCCTACACCTTAAACCCTAAGCCATAAA